AAATTACCACCGGCAGAAGAGCCTCCCACACAGATTTTACTAGAGTTGATTTCTAACTCAGTAGGACCTAACTCGAACGCCCAGAGAACTGCTTCAAATGAATCATCAACACATGCTGGAAACGGATCTTGAGGAGCTAATCTATAATCCACGCTAACAACCACGCATTTGCAAAGATCAGCCACTTTCGTGCAAAATGAGTTCTCCGTATCCAAACCTCCTAGAACCCAACCTCCACCATGGAACCATACTAACAATGGCCATCCTTCACTAGGCTTATTTCCTTTTGGAACAAATACCCTAGCAGGGATTGACGTAGCAGCTTTTGTATGCTTTCTCGGAATCTCTATGTCATAAGTTTTTGCCATCTCAGTTAATGGTGTTTGACCAGGAATCACATTTCCTGCCTTCCTTAACTTTTCTAATGGAACTCTATGAGTATAAGCAATGTTAGGATTGCTACTCAAAGTAGAATTGAAAAAGTTCACGTATTCCGGATCCAATTTCTTAATTATCGATTCATGTAGCTTGAATGGTGCTTCAGGGATACCACCGGCAAATGAAAAGTCTGATTGAAGCTTGTAGTCTGGCATTGTCGTTATAATATACTTCCAGACTTAAAATTATCATTAGCATAGTATTTCGTCAGTTTTAAATACGCTTTATATCTGTGGGTTTGGGCCTTATCTTTCCTCCACCTTTCGCTCATTATGTCCTGGTGGATGGCATCAATATTATTGGGAATGTAACGTTACATTTGATTTCATTTCTGGCACACTCTACGTATTGGGGGATATTTGACAGCTTAATCATGACTGTTGTTGGGTAGTCAATCGGAAACATTCATATTTGGTGCCATCCAATGTTATGAAAATTGCAATAGATATTATAAAATTGACTCTTGGTGGATTGGTGGATGTACATTTTGACTCGGTGGGTGGCTTCGGGAGAGTATTTCGCATACTCCTCCTCTAAATATGATGCTTTGCAGATTGGTTATAAAATTGAATACATCCTCTAATTCATATGTATTGCATTTTAATATAACATTTATAATCGAAAATAAAAATGGCTTATCCATCAAAATTCACAGCATTGTCTGACAAAGAAGTTCTCTTGAAGAATTACAAAGGTAAAAGATTACAAGAATTACCTACACCATCATTTATCATTGATAGAAATGTATTCCGGAAAAATAGCGACAAGATGCTTCACAACTCGTCGAAGTTGAATGCTGAGTTTAGGGCACATGTGAAAACTCACAAATCTACTGAAGGAACATTGTTACAGTTAGGTAGTGGAAGTTTGAAAACTAATAAAGTTGTAGTTTCTACGTTAATGGAAGCATGGAATCTAGTTCCATTGGTGGAGAAAGGTCTTATATCTGACGTGTTATTCAGTTTGCCAGTTGTCAAATCTAGATTGGACGAATTGGTAGATTTGAGTACGAAAGTTCCAAAATTACGCTTAATGCTAGACAGCCCGGAACAATTGGATATCTTAACTGCCTACAATAACTCAAATTCTCGAAATCAGAAATGGTCTATTTTCATCAAGATTAATATGGGAACAGACAGAGCTGGGTTGTTGAATGACTCAGAAATATTGAACAAGGTCTTGACAAAGGCATTGAATGACGAAGAAATCAGGAAAAATGTTGAAATTTATGGTTTTTATTGCCATGCCGGTCATTCATATAGTGCAGATTCGGAGAATAAAGCCAAGAGTGTTCTTATTGACGAAATCAACCACGCAAATAAAGCGGCAAAAGCAGCTATTAAGATAGACTCAAGTTTGACAAATTTACAATTATCTGTAGGTGCAACCCCAACAGCCCACGCATCAGAAATATTATCACAAGAAGAGTTAGAGAATGTATTAGGCGGTAAATTATCTGGTATCTTAGAATTACATGCCGGTAACTATCCGTGTTGTGATCTACAACAAGTGGCTACAGGTTGCGTAAGTTACGAAGATGTATCTTGTAAAGTTATTGCTGAAGTCATATCTACCTATCCAGATAGGGGTTCTAAATCACCTGGTGAGCAATTAGTTAACGCTGGAGTTATCGCATTAGCTAGAGAATTTGGACCTTTACCGGGTCACGGCAGAATATTGGAGCCACGCGAGTATAGCAATTGGATTGTCGGTAGAATAAGTCAGGAACATGGTATACTCACACCGTTAGATGAAAAAAAAGATACAGCTTTTATCCCAATAGGTACTCAAGTCAGTATTACTCCGCAGCACAGCTGTATTACTGCAGCATCTTATCCTTGGTATTTTGTAGTTGATGGCTCTGACGAAGTCGTCGATATCTGGGTACCATGGAGGGGTTGGTAATTAATATTTGTATAAGTTTTAATATAAACTCACTAGTACAATAAAATCATTGCTTCTGGCAAACAATTTCACCGTGTATCATAGTTAACCATCCTTTCTCATCGGAACTCCACTCTTTCATAGATTTAACAATCCCATTCCTTACAGCATCATCCTTTCCTATCCACTGCTTTGAGTGTTCTAACCTTTCAATATACATATTGGTAAACCACTTTCTAGTATCATCATTTGCAATACACCAATTAGAAGCCGTTGAATTTATATTTTCTGAATTGAATCCAGCCTCGAGTGCTAACTCCCTTAATCTTCTACCGCATGTAGTACTTGTGTATCCATTCAAGCCTATGCTAGTGAAATATTCCCTGATCTTATCGTATTTTGCTGGATATACTATAGCTGATTCCATATCTCCGTCTCTACAGCAGACATATCCATTAGGTTTAGTCACCCTCTTCATCTCCTTTATTGCGTCAACTCTATCCTTCAAATGGACAATGACTTGATGTGAATGAACAATATCGAACGTATCATCTTCGTAAGGTAACTTGTACACAGACGCCACTTCAAATTTGACATTTTTTATGCCGTTTTCAGCAACCTTCGAAGTAGCTTCCTCAATTATTTCCTTCGTAGGTTCTACTCCTATAACACTTCCTTGGGGGACATATGTACCCAAGTCACAAGTGATGGTTCCTGGACCACACCCAACGTCTAAAATCTTATCTGTTGGTTTGATCACTGAAAGCATATAGGCCGAACAATTTTTAGCAGTTCTCCACTCATGTGTCTTAGCTACATAATTATCATATCCATGTGTATAGTATTGTTGATCGCTTGTACTAGTATTCATTATTATAAAGGTGTATATTAAACATCTAATAGAAAAGAGAGGGATAAAATTTATGATTTCACCCTTGCTTGCGAATTTATAACGAATTTTCGATTTTAGCCAATGCTTCGATATCAGGCTGAAATTTTTTATAAGCATCCATATCAATTGATCTACTTAATGGTGGTCTTCCTGTCAAGTTATCTCCATAATTGTGTATCTGTTTAATTGCGTATTTTATACCGACAACATTTAATTCTAAGATCATCATATCTGCCTTGGTAACCAAGTATTGCAAATCAGAAGCTTCGGTATATTTTCCTTCTTTACATAAATTGTATAACTTAACCATAACCTTAGGGAACAATGCAGACAATCCATCAATGGCACCATAAATTCCCACCGATAAGGCAGGAACTAGGACTTGGCCCAATCCAGTAAATGGTCTAAAATTGTTAGTCTTGCAGATGGTTGTATTTTTTCCTAATAAAGTGTATAAATCCAAATTGAAATGGGTTAGTTTTGTACCCACGATATTCGGATGTTGAGCTAATTTCTCGTAAGTGTCGATTGTAATAGTTACGTTATTACAGGTACCAGGGTAGTTGTATACCATAATCGGAAGGGCAGATTGGTCTGCAACCTGGATGAAATAATCAAGTATTCCTTGTTGGCTTATCAACGCCGGTCCGAAATAGCCTGGCACTAGCAAAATAATGAAATTTGCCCCAGCTGTGGCCGCCAGCTTTGATTCCTCAATAGTCTCTTGAATACTCCCCATTGGTGGGGCTCCAGCAATGAGTTTAAAGTTTTCATCCGGAATCGCTTTCCTAATTGCAGCCACAACTTCGTGTCTTTCCTGTGCCATTAAGTGTACACATTCGCCCATAGACCCACATACTACTAATCCACGGATGCCATTCTTATATAAAAATTGTGCATGGGAAACTTGGGTTTCTAAATCCAAGGTGTATTTGCTGTCCAGCTTGAAAAACGTAGGGATTGGTGTATATATTCCACCTTGAATAATTTGGTCTTGAAGTGTCATTATGGCTGTAATTCGTTTATAAGGATTATATCTACAAGTAAGCAACTAGTTTCTTTTATAATCGAAAAGTTGCATCCATGTATTGTCAAAGCTCCCAAATATTCCGGTGGATGGTGAAGATTTCTGGTGGATGGCGTGGAGGAGAAAAGGTTGCAATCCACTTTTTTATCAAGGACAATTATTCACTATAGAACCTCTATTTGCGAGGTATTATAATAATATTAGCTGTACATACTATTGTTTAACAGCGTTGTCTCTATGTTGTCTTCCCATCCACCACCAAGATGCTGGTATCATTCGATGGGGATGAGCAAAGGACACCTCAAAAAATGGACATGGAATAACGAAACCTTTTTACCAGCATATTCTTGTAGAGCCTATTTTCAAAGCTGCCATAATAGTTTATGGTGTCTGGATAAAAAGTACGTAGCGTATACTTTTAGCATAATCAGCTATTTGAAACAGCGCATTTTCGCACCAAAGTTGTATGCTCTGTTGAGTATAATCATAGGTAATTTTTAATTCAATATGTCCAAATAAGGACATAAATTGAACTTAGTGTTTCTGAGAATCTGGTGGTTGCAAGTATTGTCTCAAGTGATCTGATAAGTTATGTCTTAATTACTCCGATCAGTGAAACATATTTAAAACAAGATAATCTTCATGAATTAAAATGTGTTATTTTATGCTTATCAACATTTATATAATATAAATTGAACTTACCCCCATCAATGCATTTGGGGATAAACATTATAAACACAGTTATCAGAACTAATCATCATGCCACTTATGTACTTCTCCGGTGAAGACAGCAATGATATTACCTTCGATGAACCAACCAGGAATCGTCTTGTGGTGGATCCAACATTATTTGCTGGTGTCCAGAACGATGAAGAACAAAATGTTAGGGTCTTTTTGGATACTCATTTGTTAAAGATTCGGAGGAGAGGAGATTTAGTAGAGCATTCTCCAGACAAATTCGTGAGCAAGAACCATGCATCCATAGGCGTAGGCGTCGAACCTGATTTATCGGCATTAGCCTATATTACTGATGCAATGATTAATGCTGAATTCAGAGAGATGAGTAGTGAGGAATTTAAAAGTAGCTATCTTGCTCCTCTTGAAAATGGTATCAGAGGGCAGAACTTTTCTATATGGCCTTTGCTGCGTTCATATCCTTATCCATTGGGAAATCCTCAACGTGTGGAGAATCATATCCAAGATTATTTTAGTGAAACAATAAGAGGACCAATAAAGGACCTTTACCGAGATATTTGTGGTGTTCACCACTATTTTGGCAGTGCCTCATATTTAAGACCACATTTGAATACAGATATATTTATCCATTTCGCTGAATACGAATCAGAAGATGGGCGTTTTCCTGAACTTTGTTTCGGGTTAGGTGATTACAAAACTGAAAATTACTATTTGTCACAAGGATTTGAAGAATTTAAAGTAGCTATAGAAGGCTTTAGGCGAATGGATCAACAGACAGAATATTTATTTCAATGTACACATTGGAATACTAGCATGTTATTCGCTTTAGTTCTAAGTAAATATTTTTACGAAGCATTCCTCTGTGGCACAAATAGAGTTCTAATCTCAAACCATCAATCATTTTCAGGGTTTTTTAAATATGATATTGTTGAAGGTCAAATGTCCGTAGATTACTATATCATTAGTGACCCAGAAACTGTTGCACATGGAATTACTTTAAGGTCGGCAATGGCCGGCTTTTTCTACCAAACAGAGGATGATGCAATTGAGACTCAAAATAGGTTAAGCAAATATCTCAGTATAGCGCACACGGCCAAGAAGTCGGACCCGTTACTTAACGTGCGTCCTAAATCTCTCAGTCACCCTTCAATGAGATCATTTCATACAGTATCTGAAGCGGCTGATAAAGAAAACGTCCGCGAGATCCAGGACAAAATGTATGGCAACACATATTGTCGAGTAATTTACGATTCTGCAAAATGTTATCCTAGTTTGTCAGTGCACCTCCCATCCACAGTGTTTGTCAAATTGTACTATTACTCTAGTCGGTTATGGAGACAGAATGATTTGACATGTTTTGGTATTCCTGATAGAAAAAGCTACTATGATATGTTCTTCAATGAAGTTTTAATTAATGAAGAAATTGCAAAATCTCAGTTTGCTTCGAATTTTCCAAAGCTTTTTGTTTCAGGGTATTGGAATGGGCTTACTGACCACCCAGTGCATATATTTGAATATCTAGGAAAAGAAATACCAGAAGAGCAATGGGACGAGAGAAAGATTTATGAGGTTATTAGATTAAGGCTCAAGGAACTCCATCTGTTGAGAATCTCACATAATGACATACAGAGGAGCAACATTCATGTTTCAGAGTCAGGTAAAATTACCTTAATTGACTTTGGATTATCGAAGTTCCCATGTAGTGAAGCAAGTAAACAGGATGACCTTGAGTCTCTTGAGAACATATTTGAGGTGAATAGGTCTACTAGTAAGAAAGAAGAGGCTGAGCAAGTCAATCCAGATATAACGAAAAGCCAGGTTGCAGTTAATGACAAGGTTGATACTACTCATAATGATGAAAGTGATGAAAATACCTCCTCTGATTTTGAGCTTGCTGAAATGAGTTTCGAGTCGCACGATACGAAAACTACAACTACAACGAAGTAGGATTTAATTGAAGCATAATACCTGTCTCTCTTATTTCCTGTACAGGATGAATGGTGTATTCTGTATGTGGCTATTTGACGAAATGAAAATGAAAACTTCTGATGCAAGATTGAGATATTTCCATCTTGGTCTTCACCCAAAAGGTGAGGCCTGTTCCAATTTTTGTTACTGCAAAATTATATGAAGTGGCTTTAATAGGTATCGACTATTTCGAAAAATGTGATCCATGCGATATTCAACATGCAAAGATAAACGTAAAGGGCACCTCAAGAAAAGAACATGAAATACGTTTTCACTTTCTCGAGATTCTATTTTAGAAGCAGCCATAATTCTATATGGTGTCTGAATTTTTAGGATAGGAAGTTCGTAGCGTATAATACCTTAGCATGAATTAGAATTAGTGATTATGTAATAGTTACCCCTGAATTCGGAATTATAAGCTTAGCTTGTAAGAACAAAAGCATAATAGATTTGGCGCTGGGATACTGCCATTTAATGTTTTGGACTATTATCGTGAAGTAAATGAGGTGGTTTGCGCCCAGTTGGCGAAAGCTAATCAAATAGAAATCCTTAAAAGGCTCCAAAATATATACATATATCGTAACATATCAGATAAAATAATAGATAGTTCCTCTATATATCACGGGCCTAGCAGAAGTGGTTTTTGACCTATTCTGTTACTAATTGCTGCAAATACTACACCGCATTTACCCCCCCCCTCCCCTCTCTTAAGTACAAGTTCCGCTCCCAATGAAAGTCCATGAGATTTTATTGGACTTAGTCGTATATATTATCAATTTAGTCATGCATTGATCATTTCGATGTTTTTAGCATTAATTGTCTTTTTTCCAATTTTTTATTATATATTCAAAAATTACCTAGAATTGTAAGGAAACCTGATTCCATATTTCCGAAAACCCAAATTTTTTTACACCACAGCCATTTCTACACTTCTACTCACTACAGAAGGTTTCATTCTCTTTATTCATACCAGTGTTATCTACTGTTCTTCCCCGATACCAAAGCTGGTATATTACCTCTCCTGAATTTTAAAAAATGTAAATGTAAGCAACAATCCGTTTCTCCAGATCAAACTACATCTATACATCCATACACCATTCCCGGATATAAATTTTTCCACGGCATTTCGAAACCAATCAGCTCTCATACTATAGCTCTATACAATAACCACCAAGGAAGCAAATATATCAACTCATGGTTCCTCTTACTCTAGAAGTACATGCTACCCGTATCCGCTATGTACAGACTATATACGTAGACAGATTCGTAAATATAGTACACCCAAATACCTCTGGTGGTCTGGTGAGCATTTCATTTTGTTATCCAATCAACGCTCACTAATTTTTAATTACATATTCAAATATTCCCCGGGTGAATTCACCGGGAACAATATAAAGAATAAAGATTTGTCATAAAATTTTCTTTTATAGTAGAAAGTAAAGTTGATAAATTAAGCCAGTTATTTCATTATTCATACGATATACAAGGTATCCAGCATGTTTAAATCAATTATTCGTCAAAGAAGCAGCTTTTTGGGACAAAGGTTCAGAAACTTGGCCACCAGTGCTAACGCAGAAACCAGAATGAAGAAATTCCAAATTTACAGATGGAATCCTGATACCCCAGAAGTCGAACCAAAAATGAAGACTTACGAAGTCGACTTGAATCAATGTGGTCCTATGGTCTTGGATGCTATTTTAAAAATCAAAAATGAACAAGATGCCACTTTGACTTTCAGAAGATCTTGTAGAGAAGGGATTTGTGGATCCTGTGCTATGAACATTGGAGGTAGAAACACTTTAGCTTGTTTGTGCCGTATAGAAGAAGACACATCCAAGGACTTGAAAATCTATCCATTACCACATATGTTCGTTGTTAGAGATTTGGTGCCAGATTTGACCCATTTCTACAAGCAATACAAGTCTATTCAACCATACTTGCAAAGAGACACCCACCCAGAAGACGGACGTGAAAACTTACAAAGTATCGAAGACAGAGCTAAGTTAGATGGTTTATACGAGTGTATTTTGTGTGCTTGTTGTTCTACTGCTTGTCCATCATACTGGTGGAACCAACAAGAATACTTGGGTCCTGCCGTGTTGATGCAAGCCTACAGATGGTTGATTGACTCAAGAGATCAAGCCTCGAGAGCCAGAAAGGAAATGCTCCAAAACTCCATGTCCTTGTACAGATGTCACACCATTATGAACTGTTCCAGAACCTGTCCAAAGGGTTTGAATCCTGGTAAAGCCATTGCTGAAATCAAAAAACAATTAGCCTTTGATTAATTGAATTCTAATTAATAAAGTTGCATTTTAAATATATATTCTATTTTATTTCTCCAAAGGATTTTGTTCACGTCTTGATTCATGTCATCGTCATTATATAGTCAATGCTTTTAATATGGTTGATCTTGTACTTGAATGTATTTATTGATTATTTACTATCTGTAGTTGCTGCTGTATCCCGCTTTTGTATTTAAATGGCCATTGGCTGGTTTTTGCGATTTCCTTTCCCGAGACATTTTTCTCAATCCATAATTGTTCCAAATATGGGGTAGCATCTGCTACTTGCTATCTGAAGGAAGCCGTAGGACGAAGGTCACTGCCTGCTTCACAATAGGGCGTTCAATTGAGTAATTATCCCTATTATATTTCGTTTCATCTGATAAAAAACATCTCGGGTAACAGAGATTGGTTTTAGTAAAGTCCGAGTTGGCGGAGAACAACCCTAAGCGAAGTAATCTAACGACCCCAGCCAAATTATATAGCAATAAAGTGAATAATCTAAATAACTCGGAATGTCGTAGATCATTCATATAAATAGGGGAAATTATCTTGGTTAATTATAGTTTATATCAATACAGTAGTATTAAATTGAAATATTAATTATTCTATTTGTATAAATTAAGATGTCTAAAGGAAAAGTTTTATTAGTTCTCTATAGGGGAAATGAACACGCCAAGCAAGAACAGAAGTTGTTAGGATGTTTGGAAAATGAGTTAGGGATCAGAGAATTCATTGAATCGAATGGATACGAACTTGTTGCTACCGATGAAAAAGACCCAGAACCTTCGTCCCAGGTCGATAAGGAATTGGAAGATACAGAAATCATTATCACAACTCCATTTTTCCCGGCGTATATTACCAAAGAAAGAATTGCTAAGGCTCCAAAATTGAAAATGTGTATCACCGCAGGTGTGGGTTCAGACCACATAGATTTGAATGCAGCCAACGAAAAAAAGATTGCTGTAACAGAAGTTACTGGTTCTAATGTGGTTTCAGTCGCAGAGCATGTTCTCATGACCATGTTAGTTTTGGTTAGAAACTTTGTTCCTGCTCATGAACAAGTCAAGAAAGGTGAATGGGACATTGCAGGAGCTGCGAAAGATGAATATGATTTGGAAGACAAAGTGATTGCAACAGTTGGTGCAGGTAGAATTGGTTATAGGGTGTTGGAAAGACTCATTGCTTTCAATCCAAAGAAATTGTTATACTACGACTATCAAGATTTACCAAAGGACGCAATCGATAAGTTGAACCAGGCTTCTAAATTATTCAATGGTAGGGACAACATTGTAGAAAGAGTTGAAAGCTTGGAAGACATGGTTGGCCAAGCAGACTTAGTCACCATCAACTGTCCATTGCATGAAAAGTCAAAGGGATTGTTCAACAAGGACTTGATTTCTAAGATGAAAGATGGTGCTTGGTTAGTCAATACTGCTCGTGGTGCGATTTGTGTTGCAGAAGATGTTGCTGCAGCAGTCAAGAGTGGAAAATTACGTGGTTACGGTGGAGATGTTTGGTATCCTCAACCAGCACCAAAAGACCACCCTTGGAGAGCAATGCAAAACAAGTATAATGCTGGTAATGCAATGACTCCTCACGTAAGTGGTACTTCCTTGGATGCGCAAGCAAGATACGCTAACGGGGTTAAGAGTATCTTAAACAGTTATTTCACTGGTAAGTTTGACTATAAACCCCAGGATGTTATTGTTATCGATGGTGACTACGCAACTAAGGCATATGGTCAAAGAAATAAGAAATAAGTAGTTCGCTTATGTTAGTTTATGACGTTTATATGAAATTTTATGCACGCAATTAATTATTACAGAAAGTAGCTATCTCTTCTTCGAATGAAAGAATTACCCCTTTCTTTATTCAGTAAACTTTCGAATGAGTTTTGTAAGGATGCAAGTCTTGACGACGAGGAAAAGAAGTTAATTTCTTCCATTGGTTTGTTACCCGATGAAAAACCAACTGAATTGCTTCATTACACGAGGACAATCGCTGGCGAGATCAAGACGAATGACAAACAAGGTTTAAAATCATTGAATATTTCTATAGGCAAAGGAAAGAAGTCAAAACCTATAAAATCAGAAAGGATAATAGGCTCTGATTTGACTGCAGGATATGGAAGTTATAAGAAAGCATCTGCTAGAGAAATTTATCAATTAGATGGTTTATTTACCTCTCTAAAATACTATTTGGAGAATGCAGAGGACAAGAAAACATCGTTCGACAGGATTCAGTCATCAATTGTGTCGTTGAGACGAAACTTGCTTATGCTTATGCTAATACCTTTAAATCATTGGAGAGAGTATAGATTTAACGTGATTTACTGGAAAGGAATAATCGTATTAGACTACGATTGGGAATATTTTGAAGACGATATTACTATAGGCATGTCAAATTTGAGCTTGGGTCGTCGAAATAACACAGATTTGCTACAGTATAGTGGCTTTAAATTCGAAAACTTAATAACGCTGGCACCGGATAAATCTAATGACTTTTATACGCTCGTCTCTCAGAATTATGATAATTTCAATACAGTTTTTACTGCTGAGGTTGATGCTGGAATAAATAATGTTGCCGCTTTGTCTTCTTATGTTGAATTGAAAACACATAGCCAGATTAAGTCACAAGTTGACTTCAAATTGGCTTCCAAATTAATGTCAAGCTGGTGTCAGACAAAATTGGTTGACGGTAAGCATGTGGTTATTGGCTTTCGTTCAAAGGGCTTTAATCTTACATCTATAAAAAAGTATCAAACCAACGAAATAGCTAACTTATTGAATTTACACCCGTTGAAGCTTCCAGATGACTCTACTATTACCTGCAAAAAGCTAGTAAGATGGTATAAATGCACCTTGCAATGGATTGTTGACCTGGTCCGAAATGAGAGCGAAGATAAGGACTATAGGATATTTAAAATCCATTACTTACCGAAGAGTTCACCTGCTAACTCGTGCTTGTCCTTCGAAACTATCGGTGACACTACAGGGAACGGCATTTTTAACCAAACTATCCCGCAGTGGTTTCAAGAATATATGAACAATTCCGCTGAGCCTGATAATTGTTTATTAAAGAGAGAACACTAACTCTTTGGGCATATACTGAATCACGATGCTCCAAGGTGACCCTTCGTCTTACACTTTTATCATACTTTGTCATGGCCATGTTACCTGCTTAATCTAATATTTATTAAACTTACATAAATTAACTTATATATACACGAAAAACCTCCTTTACTTCAATGCACCTCTTAATGCCAAAATACACATCTCTCAATCCGATATGGCTTCTTTAATCGCCAACTGTCTGGAATGACTATCAAAGTATACACTTAAGTCCTTAAAGTTCATTGTTTCTGGATCTGCTTGCATCATATGCTTGTCTTTGAAAGTCACTTCTACTACTGGCTTTTCTGATGCTGGTGAGCTTGCTGTTAGCACTTTGTAATCTATTTTACATGCACCTTTCATTGAAGGTGGAATCCTCGAGAGAAATAATCTGGCCGATCTGGAACTAGCCGTAAATGGATCAAACTTAATCGACACCTTAGTGAAGTATTTAGTAATCATTATTCTGTATATTTAACACGATATAGCACCAGATGGACGGTAAAATATGCTATAACTTCTATCTATGAATCTTTAAGTCCAGAATTTTTCAAAAACTTTTCTCACTAAAAAATAGTGCATTCATCAAATCAAGAAGACAATAGTATAAAATGATTTTCCATGTTCCGCCGTACTTAAATAGTTTTCTCCTTTTAATCAAACATATATATTATTTATACAATTAAATTATCATTGATATATAACTTTTAACTATTAATTTCCAATGTCAACCGGAAATCCAGACGAGATTGAGCTTTCGAGAGTCAGAGGTACTGCTACTAGCGAGGCTCTTGATGATACCAAAAATGATCCTAATACAGAAAAGAATGATGATATTATGGTCAGAAGTGGTATAAACGAAGCGATTGACCCGAATAAACAACTTACATTTGCAGTTGATACCGGTGCAGATGTTGTAGATGGAACAGACGGTACACAAGGTGCAAATATCGCAGACATTGCAGATGCTGCAGCAGAGACCACTGTACGTTTAGAAGATTCTGACGATAAACCACCCGATGGTGGCTTTAAGGCGTATTCCGTGTTAGTTGGTTCATATTTTACGATTTTGACTAACTTGGGTCTTATTAATTCGGTTGGTGCGATCCAGACATATATTTCTGAGCATCAGTTGGAAGGTATAAATGCTATAAGCGTTTCATGGATTTTCTCTATCTACCTTTGTCTTGCGTATGGGGTAGGGCTTGTTACTGGTAGTGTATTTGATAAGAGAGGGCCTTTAGGGTTATTGGTTGTATCGGCGGTATTGATAGTTGTAGGTTTATTTGGTGCTGCCTACAGTAAGACCGTTTACCAATTTATTTTGAGTTTTATGGCTGTTGGAATTTCAAATGGGTTATCACTTACTCCATCGGTTGGTGTAATCAACCATTGGTTTTCCAATAAAAAGATTGGAACTATTCAAGGGCTTTCCACTAGTGCAGGGTCGTTGGGTGGGTTGGCGTTCCCATTATTGTTGAGATATTTATATCCTAACTACGGATTTTCGATAGCACTTATTGTTTTGGGATGTATCTGTTTCGCTTGCATGTTAATTGGAATTGCTTTAATCAGAGTAAGAGTAAAGAGAAAGTCAAAGGAAGTAGCTTCCTTATCTGACGCAAGACCGGAAACATTGTCAAAATGGAAGAAAGTAAAGAAGGAATCAAAAGTTTTGAGCTTCAAACATTTAAAAGATACAAAATACGTTCTTCTTATTATAGGTGCATTTTTCGCAGAACTTTCATTAGTGTTGATTGTCACCTATTATGCTACTTACGCAATTGCACAAGGAGTTTCCGAATCGACAGCTTACATATTGTTAACTGTTTGGAATGCTACTGGTATTTTAGGTAGATTTTTGCCAGGATTGGGTTCCGATTTCCTTGGGAAGTTCAATGTGAATATATTGATGCTTATAGGCTACAACATATCCATTTGTGCATTGTGGGTGCCTTTTGGGTATAACTTGAAGGTTTTATATGCGTTCGCAGCTCTTGGAGGCTTTTTCCTGGGACTGATTTTGTCGATGGTTCCGATTTGTTTAGCCCAAGTTAGTTTGGTTGTGGAATTTGGAGAAAGGTATGGTTTGTTAAATTTCTTCCTTAGTTTGGGTAATTTGTTCGGTGTTCCAATCGCTGCTGTTATTATTGGAAATGGTAGCGTCCATAACTATAACATGTTTTCAATTTTGGTTTGTGTATGCTCTGTCATTGGTACCTTATTCTGGTATTTGAGTAGACATTCAATCGTTGGGTTTAGATTGAATGTAAAAATATAAATGGATTAATGATTAGTTTTTATATTAGATTTCTATATATATCTTATCCCGCATATAACTGTTTTATATAGTAGGACATTATGATTTAAAGATATTATATCTGAAAGTACATATTTAGGAGATCAAACAGTTGCAATTAAAAGAAGTGGCTAGTACCCATCCTGCAAATAGACTTTCTATATAGTTAATAAACAAATGTCAGATCCTACTATCCATCGTATTATAAAATGGATTGCAATAATGCAAATGCATAGTACAAGTGTAAATTGAAATTGATTACAACTATAAGCATTGAATCATTAGTTGGAACTCATGTCTCGCAATTCGTGTTCATCTACCGCATATTGGTTGCGAGAAGAAATGGAAGATGCAACAGTTCTATTTTGCTCTTGATGGCGATTTGAAGAACGCTGTCTTCTCTTTTCTATGATGCTATCATACTTGCAAGATTTCCTTGATTGCAAATATCCCCATGAAAAATAACCTGCTGGTATATAACTCAATAAAGCAGCCTGCAAAAACATTTCATATATATGATCTTGCTTGACAAATGCAAGACTCAAGAATATTAATACCATTTCTGCAACCATTGTCAATGGAAACGTTAAGTAAAAATGATGATATTGTAACCAATAGAGCCACGACGGCGTGCTGCGGGTTTTAACTTTGAAACTATAGTATGCAAAGTGAATTACGTACATCAAACACCACGACAATATAAGCAATGAATATGATGTGTGCTTCGCTATCCTTGGATGCGGAAAGATAACACCATAGCAAATCCATACCATTCTAACGCCATTTGCTAACGACCACGCATCATTTGCCTGCAATTTGGACTTGATTAATGTCTTTTTTATGAAAAATCCACACAATGGTAATAATGATACAATATGAAAGAAATCAGCAATTCCTCCTGGCAAAAACTTTCTACCTACCAATGGTAATAATATTAAAAACCGACAAAAGCAGCAAAGCCATAAGACGAACGAACATATGTTATAGAAAAACACAAACTTAAGATTTGTGGAAAGAGGGTATAAATGTGCCATATGAATAGTTTACCCTGTTATATGAAGAATAATGCTACGTGGAGGTTTTATACTAGTCAAAACTAGTTGATCTATTAAAATATATGAATACTGTATATAAAATTTTATTGAATTTTTCACTATTATAACAAACAACCAGGTTAGAAGAAGCAGTGGGTTATATTGAAACATAAAGATGAAGTACATATCTCTATTGTCTCTTATATTGATATTTGCTACGGCAATCTCACTTGTTGAAGCATCAAATTGGTCGCCTGAAGATTACGAGATTTTTAGCTTGAATGATAAAGTTCAGCAAGACTTAGGCAAAGGTGCTAGCTTTTACTCTTGGTTAGAATTGCCAAACGGTCCTAAATCTACTTTACAAGAAATTTCTAAGGCTTATAGAAAGAAGTCGCGTATTTTGCATCCTGATAAAGTAACTGGGTCCAAGTCATTAAAAAAACAAGCAGAGGAAAGATTTCAACGGTTGTCTTTAGTTGGGAATATATTGAGAGATCAGTCGTTGAGAAGACGATACGATTATTTTCATTCTAAAGGATTCCCAAGATGGAAAGGAACAGGGTATTATTATTCAAAATTCCGCCCAGGAATTATTATGACTGTTGTGATACTTTACATTATTGTTGGGGGAATTCACTTTGTTGCCATGAAAATCAGTCGGAAACAGGACTTCAAACGTCTTAGAGATTTGAAAGAAGAAACCAAGAAGCAAGCTTGGGGCGGTTCGCAGATACCTCCTGCTGATGGTTCTAGTAGAAAGGTTTTTAACGAAACTACTGGCAAGCAGTTCATGATCACCCCAGATGGGAATGTTTCGTTGATAGTTTCTGAACCTAAAAAGGAATCTTACCTCATTTCTCTCGATGAAAATGACATTAATTTAAACCCAGGATTTAAGGAATCTCTTTTTTTCAAGCTTCCTTGTTCTTTATGGAATATTTCTCTTGGAAGAGCATTAGACAAGACCATTGATACCACTGTTTTGTTTGAAAACCCAAACAAACAGGCAGACACCATTCCAAATGAGCAAAAGAAGAAAACAAAGAAGAAGACTCAGAGAGGCCAAAGCTTTGAATTGCCTAATGGTAAAAAAGTTTATGGAAGAAATGGGGCCTCAACTACTCAAAAGAGAAAACAAAAGTAATAGACGGTTATATTGCACAGTCGATAATCCTAAGAGAATTAGTATTTACTCATGTAATTTAGTATAATTTACCTATTAATGCGTATATTTTATATTTATTTACTCGTTGTGTCTCGACACTCTTCGTAATTCGTTACCATCTTCCTCTCGACTATCACCTTCACCGTCTTCTTCATCAGCATCATCTTCTTCGTCTGAGGAACTTGAACCTGATAAGTCGTCTATGAATTCATTCTCTTGATATTCATCATGAAAATGTTCATTATCGTAGAAGTCCAGATTATGTAAATCTTCTACCAGCGGTGAACCCTCAAGTCTTACATCAGGAACTGGAGTTTCTTCCATATGCTCATCATCATCATCATCGTCATCATCATCATTATCATCCTCATTACTTTCGCGAGACGCATTTTGACGATCATTTACAAATAAGTCATGATTTGATCTATCTCCTAGAATTATTAAATTTTTGTTGGGATTTCCCTGTTCCTTGTCATATGAGTCTAAATCAAGATATCCAACAGTAGATGAATCAAAACCAAATGAATCCTGATCCTTGTCATTTAATCTATGGCTTTCATCTTCTTCATCTTGCTCGGATCCCAATACAACATTATAAACTTCTCTTGTTTTGAGCAATATCTCATTAACAAACCAATCCCAGTCTTTAGATAAAATAGCATCAAGAATTATAGGAGATATAAGATCTGGTTTATAAAGCGAAGTAAATTTTACTACTTCCTCACTAATAAGAATTAAGTGACCCATATAACCGGGTCGAGGTTCATGGGATTTACGATATGATTTTACAATCAAATTTGTTAAATTGCATTTTTCCGGTTTGAACAAATCCACAATTAGAAAAGAATTATATGAGTTAAGTTTCCCATTGAAAATTTGTTGAATTAAATCAAACACAACATTATGAAAAAAATTGTGCCAGGGATAATCTGTAAACTTCGAAACTATATCTAACAAAATTTCCAGTTCACTCAATTTAATCTTAAATTCATCTCCAATACAAGGATTCATTCGTATACTTTTTTCTCTATCGGAACATACAAATGGATTCTGCGGGGAGATTTTGGGCTCATCATCATCTGAATCATCTTCTGCTTCTAAAGATTCAATCAAATCTGAATAATCGTTAGTTTCATCAAAAAAGATATGTTTTGAATCATCCGGGATATCAATCTTCGATTCGTCTCTCTTATCGCCATCTATAAAATTAATATCATCCAACGAAACATCATCTAAGCCATTTGTAACATCATTTATAGAATGACGGTTTTGATCTGCATGATTATTTACGAATGTTTCAGCCAAGGCCTTCTTCAAACGATCGCTTTGTTGAAGTCTTAACGTATCACGGATTTTAACAATCTTTCTTATCTTTCTTGAGTTCAATAATATCATATTCGAACAATGGAGCAATTCTGCAATCAATTCAGAAATCTTGAATTTAGTAAAGCCTAGTACACGTGAATCATTGACATGCAATGGTGCATCGGACGGTCTTTTCATCAATTCTGCAAATTTGTCTAAATGGTCTGAAAATATCGAAAGCATCTCTCCCAAATAGATAGGGTCTCTAAGACCCGGAGGATTTTGTTCAAAGTCCTTCAACCAGTGAAACATAACATAGGAATTTACTTCGCTGCCAGCATTTTCATCACCACAATTTTGAAGCATAGAACTGTATGTTCCACAGTTCAAATCATAGTCTGAATTGTTTTTCCTAATAAGTTCAATTATGATGCCGACACAATTATTAATACCATGTTTATTTGATTGTATAGATCCAGTCTCAGATGGTATATTGAACAACATGATATCATTGATCATTGTTTTAATTATATCTGGAGAAACTAACTCTCTTGTAAGCTGGTTGGGGCCAATATTATTTTCCAAAACCACTGCCAATGCAGTATTAGAAGAAATGGTTACTACGGCCTTTATGAAATCAGAAGCTGCAGTCTGTTTGAAGAATAATTCATGATTTGGGATTGTTAAAGGTTTTGTTGCGAACTGAGATGGATGCGGTTTCAATATCTCTATTAATTTTGGAATCAATTCTTGTCGCGATAAAACTTCAACAATTCCAGTAGGTGAGGATGCTTTATCCGTCTGAACAACTCTCAAGAGGAAGTCCATCAACATAGGAATTTCGATCTTATTTAAAAACGTATCCACTAAGTCGGTTCGACGTCTTATGAAGTTCAATAAAGAGATGCTATTCTTGTCCATCAACTGATCCAAGATATGAACTAGATATGAAACGGACAAAGAATTTTCTTCCAAGTTTGGTAGCTTAAGTATCAGCCATAATTTATTAATGATTGCTGGGGTTTCAATAATGTGATTCAGAATCACCCACAAGTCAATTGATAAAATCTCTGATGATACTTGAATGCAGCGACGTAACCTTTCCTCTTTGGTTTCTTCTTCTTCGCTCTCCTTGTCTTCACTCATATCTTCCGCTTGTTCGATTTCAACTTCATTATCCCCATCAATCTTTGGATTAATTTCTCCATTACGCTTTGCACCTTTTTCTTCATCATCTTTATCGTCTTCTTCCTTTATAAGTTTTTCCAACTCTTCCTTCTCCTTTAGGCTTAATTCATGAAAAAAGTCTACGCTATTAATAAGGTAATCGAGAAACCCATTCATTACCTGCGGCTGTAACAATAATTCTAATAGCCTTGGTCCTCGAGCATCTTTATTGTAAGTGTTATTATTTTCATTGGTAGAAGATGTCAAAGAAAACGTATCGGAATTGGAGGAATTATTAGTTTGGTTGGTCTCGTGTCCCTGCTGTTGCAGAAATTGAAAACTTGTGTTCTTATTATTATAGCTTCCCTTTATATTATGAAGTTCACTAATTAACTCTTGCAGTAATGCCGGATCACCTATTAAATCATCGGCAGTTACCTGTGAAAAATCTTGAATAGAATCCAAAAATTTATGAAGTTGATTGTTACTATGCAATGGGTTTGAAAACGGCCAAAATGACATCTTGGAGTTTGTCTTCAATAGTTGTGTTTACAGTAACAAGTATCTATAGGTCACACACTATCCAATTTTCTTGGCTTTATGGATGAATTAGTATATAATAAATAAATTGCTTAAGTATTTGTAAGCCATATACTTCTAGTAATTGTAGTAGGTTTGTACAGTTGATAAGAGATTGACTTCGAAGTAGCCGTAGAAATGACGATTCATCAAAAGGACAAGTACTGCATATAACAACGCACAGAACCATTCGAATTTTTAGCTGTTAAAGTTTCATACGAAGATTACTTTCCAGTGTACAATATGTTGCTAGACGAGCTCTATAAATCGTGGTTTAGGTAATATGGACTGTGATTATTTATATATTAAGTGAAAATAAAAAACTTACAAGGGTGAAGATATGTAGATTTATCACCAAGTGCAGACATGACTATTAGATACACACTGCTCGATGTCATCCATCATACATCGATAGATAATAAGGGATTATAGGCTCGATGAAGAAATAAGAATAATACAAGGGTATATTATAAAGTATCAGCTTGAATGTAGTAATATCAACTACACACGAAATATTTAAATAGGGATATTAATTGGAAATAGGAATTTTCTATCCTCTCTACTTAGCGAAACATTTTATTAAGTCGAGGTTTTTCGATATATTAATTAATCGCTGGTAGGCATCTGTTCGAGGGTTTTTATCGCCCTCAAATACTCAGCTTTGTAGACATCAATCATCTCATTACATGTTTGCTTAGCTAGCTTATGACAATTTGTTGCATTATGCTTTACCCATTCTTGTATGGTCATATTCTCCTCATCCTCCGGCATGCTTGATATCAAATTTGTTAGTTCACCATCATAGTCATCATGTAGATCATATTTTGAGTTTAGACTTTTGTTCAAATATTCCGATGCAGCTTCCATATTTTGTAGATTATCCAAAAGATTCGATAATGATACAGGTACCCATTCTAAGGGCGCCTGCGGCGTCGTGGTCGCCGATACAGAGCCCAATGTCTCTTTCTTCTTCTCGGGAGTGCTTGATTCCAAAAGGTTGGAGAAGTTTCCAGAAAATCTTTCGATTGCACTATGTGATACACGAGGGTTAAACGGCTTTGACACTTCGTTCTTTGGGATGCCATCCGTCTCTACATTATTGTTATTTGAATTTGGATCTAATTCCTTTTCCGTAAAGCGCAGATGTGTTTCCTCTTTGCTCGGGCTATGTGTAATAGGGTTAAACGGCTTTGACACTTCGTTCTTTGGGATGCCATCCGTCTCCACATTATTGTTATTTGAATTTGGATCTAATTCCTTTTCCGTAAAGTGCAGATGTGCTTCCTCTTTGCTCGGGCTATGTGTAATACTATTACCTTGCGAGATTTCCTTCCAAATGGACGTCACTGCTGAATTGTCCATATGTTCTGATTTATTAGACACTTTGCTTGGGCTTGAAAATGCATTGGAGGATCTCAAGTCATTATTTATTTCATTCATATCTTGAATATATTCGTCATAAGCAGATTGGGACCCTAATCGTTCATTGCGGTTACTCTGCTGCAGTAACTTAGCCATTGAGCTTGCTATGGCGTTTTCCCGTGAAACAGGCGCTTCTTCCACATTTGACAATTCATTATGGTCACCACTACCAGCTCTATTATCTTCAATCAAATCTTCCTCTTTATTATATGTGCCTTTATATGCACCATCCGTGTCTTGCTGAAATTCGCTTTCTTCCAGGTCTTTCGCAACTACAGATTCCATATCATCTTTCAGAATATGATCATCGGTTGAAAACCGGTTGGGTTTTGACATAACCGTCGAGTCATTAGGGTTGTCTGATAAGATAATACTATCATCCTTGAGTGAGCTATGTTCGTTTTTCAGGTCAAGTTTTAAATCCATTACAGGAGAATTCTTGACATCAGTATTCTCTGCTGAGATTTCATGAGGCATGCTATTTTCCATGTTCCTATCCCCTTCCCGTATAGCAGAATTTTCCACTTCTCCCTCTGCATTGTCTAAACTAGCATCCTCCATGTCTTTTACTGCATTTTCGGAGCTGACATCCTCCGATTGCCGTGGAGCAACATCTTCCATACTTTCAACTTCTGAGGAATTTTGTATTTCTTTAGATAAATTTTGTGGATTTGACGCTTCTGTTATCTCATAATCTGTTGACTTATTATTTACAATTTCATTCTGAATATCGGATGGTAAGACATCATTAATTTGAGAATTCTCAACATCATCCCTACTTTTGGTCAAATTAGTCTCAGGTTTTTGACGCTTTAAAATCGAACCAGCGCTTACACTCTTATCAGTCTCATTAATGTCTATCTTTGCAGGCTTAGATAAAGGGTTTCTAATATTAAATGTAAATGGCTTTGAATTATTATCAAAAATATCATTCGATGAATCATCAAATGACATATCTAGAATATTATTTTGAGTCTTCTTAGATTCATTTTGCCCTTTAGATTTGTTTTTCTTTCGAGATTGTACTGACCTTTTACCATTAGAGTTTCCTGGTGAGCCGTAACTCATCTTATTTACCTTTGATGATGCACTCATAGTTTTCTCATTGGATTTCTCGGCATTTATCATCGGGGCGTGGGATCCAGGTTTATTTATCGAACCGTTTCTAATGGACGGTCTGATATCATTCTCAAGAAAATGTATATTATCTTCTTGATAATCACCTATGTTTTGGTTTGACAAATCATATATTGGAGGTGATGGAGAATATCTCTTATCTGTAATCTTTAATTTTTTAGCTTTTTTAGGTGATTCAAGAACCTGCTTAAATCTCTCATCATCGAAGGATACATTATCTATCATTTCTTTACGACTCCGCTTCTTCAACTTTTCAGCATTTTTATCAGCACTTGCGCGTTGTTGTATTTCGTTCGATATTTCAGCATCTTTATCATCTGATACATGATAATCTATATCATCGCTATTTTCCGTTTGAAAACTGAAATTTAACTTCGAACTGTCATCTACATCAATACTATCAAAAGATGTATCACTATTAAGATGAACCAAATTTTTCACTTCAATATTCTGTTTGCGGACTCGGTAAGGTTTATTTACATTTCTAGTACGACTGCTGATAGATTCATTTACTAAATCCTCTTTTCGGGATTCATCTCTATAATTCTTCTTGCGTTTGGTTTCTGTTTGGTAGCTTCTACTTGAACGTGCTGAACTATTAGAAGAATCTGATTCACTCTGATGATATGAAATATCATCAAATTCATTTAAATCATCAGAACCTAGTTGATCAATATCTTTTATATCATCATCGTCATTGTCATCATCAGTGTATTCTATTGACACGCTCCCCTTTTTAGTTTTTACAAGGTTCTGAGGAGATTTATTATCTTTTTCTCTCTCTGAAGCTCCCTGACTTACCATGGATGTCTTAGCAGGATCAGATCTAGGAAATTCTCTCTCTTTATTTAAATAGTCTTTCATTGGGATTTCTGTTTTAATATCATTGTCTGTGAAAGGTAATGTACCTTCTTCAATTTCGTCAACATTATGTAAGTTAGTGCCTTCATTATGGTTTGTTATCTCGTGTTCATGACTGTACTTTGTATTAATGCTATTATCATTATTATCACTACTTGATTTCTCTTCTTCTTCTTCTTCTTCTTCTTTGTCTGCATGCCTAAATTTGCGGTAGTTCTGCTCTTTACTACTTTTTCTCTCGTAATTCTTATCGTATCCAACACTAACTTCATTGTCATTATCCTTACCAAGTTCTTTCTCTTCTGTATCTCTAGGCTCCCAAAAGTCTTGCTTGGTGTCATATTCGCGAGCAAGATTCCTACGTTGAGATCTTGTCATACGACCACTATTTATATCAGCCAATTCATTAACTGAAACATCGTCATCTCGATTATCGCTAGTGGGATATTCATACTCGCCTTCTAATATCGCATTTTTGTCCTGAGAAAGAACTTTATATTTGGTATCATTGGAAGAAGATTTCCTATTTATTTTCTTCGGTGAATCTTTAGGTACTGTCTTTTTGGACAGTATAGTACTTTCGCTGGTTTCTTCAAAATCATCCGACGTTGAATCGTCACCGGACACAATAGTTAAGTCCTTAATATTGGATTCTATAGACGTAGTCCTATGGGCTTTGTTTATATTTAAGTTCTCTATTTTCTTTTCATCAATTTCTTTATTTTCGGACTCCAGTATTGATCTAGAATTAGACCTTGATCTAGGTCTGGGTTGGTCGACTTTTTCCAAGAAATAACAAGGTCCATTAGAATTATTTTTATGTTCTTCTATTGGATCATCATCCGATAACCATGTATCTAATGAGCAATTGCAATAAACGCATTGCACTCTATCATTTCCATATCTTAGTGGACAGTAATAAAACCCGGCTTTCGCCAATGTTGTGCTAGTTGTTGTAGATCCCTTAGTTTTATCATATTTCCAATATTTACCGAATGTTCTCTTTCTTAGATCGATTGACTCTTTGCTTAAAGGATCACTGAATTTTGAAGGTTGATGTGACCAAAAGCTTTCCGTATTATTCGACAAATGGTTAATCTGCGATGATATAATTAATGCCAACGGACACAGGGGATTATTAGTTAAATGATAATCAGCGATATTTGTTATTCCTTCTACGTTAGTTTCTTTCTTCCTGCAACAGACACACGTTATTTGGTCGTTATTTATTTTCGTCGGAGTGAAATAGAAACCACAGTCAACCAATTGTACAATATCGGGCGTGCTATGAGTCCAGTATCGCTTTTGTTTTGACTTATATTGAAAAGAGCCATCTTGAAAAGTTTCCAAACGGTTCTCTCTGTATTGCATAGATTCATTCACTTTTGGAGGCATTATAATTCATGTTATTATTCTATTATGATCTTATGATCTGCAAGTAAATATATGACAAAATTGGATTGAAAGTTTAAAAATTTATAATATAGTTGACTTATGGAACAATTAGCGAAGCTTATCAACAATTAATATTCTAAGTCCAGTAATAGTTGTTTTAAATACAATTTTGCAAAAATCTATGTATCATCGTTGAGGTTGATATTTTTTTCTGCGAACTTATCTGATCTACGCGATTTCAAAGTAATTAATTTATAAAATAGTTGAATGTAAAAAAATATATATCAAGTATACAAAGCCTTTATTTGGCTAAATCATGATGAGAAAATGATGTAGAACTAAAATTTAAGCAGCCAATCACAATTTGTTGTATGAGGAAGACGTAAGTATCACTAAAAGTTATGACCGACTAACAACTGAATTGTTTTCAAAGCTTCATATTTTAGTTCATTGTTACCGCTACTACCTTCTAAGTAATTCATAATTAACAATTTGTACTGACCATTCTTTTCATTATTAATGAAGTTAATGAGGTCATCCCCTAAGTTTTTAATTAAAAATTGCAAATCATTCAATAAGATAACTTTTATAGTATCATTCTGATTACTTGAAGATAAGGTATCAAATAATTTCTTTGTTAACTTGAAAGAGGAATCTTTGAATTTTCCCGAATTGTTGATCCAAAATTGTTCTGATTTGTGGGTTGGAGAAGACCACGAGATCAAATTCGGATTCTCCAATTCCGTCAAATACTCGTCGAATGATGTTAACTTATTATTCACAATTTCCGACAATGTGTCATACAAATAATTCAAATCATTAGATAATTCTTCATCACTGCCATTAGAGGCAAATTTTCTTTCCTGCAAAAGTTTGATTGAATTCAACCCATCGTGGAATAACACCAATTTGATGGTCTTAAATTGTTCATTACTGGATATGGCCAAGGAAATAAAATTTTTTAAAATTGAAACGGACATTCTAACGATTTTCAATTTGATCGAATCTTTTGAAATTGTCAATAGACTACCAATTAATTCCGGATAGTGATGAACCAAAACACGGTTGATTTGTGGACTAAACGATAAGATCCAAGTAGTTAATAAAAAGTTATAAAGTAATTGTAAATTTGATGAATTTGGCCTTTTAATTTGGAACGCAATTAATTGGTTAATTGGTTTAAAGTTCGTAACCAAATGAGTTTCTTGATAAACTTGTTTGAAAGGTTTTAAAATGATCAATTCTTGCAATAACTGGATACCGATTATTTGCAAATTTAAATCTTGGCTATTACCAATAAAGGAATCCGACGATAAGAGCTCGAAAATTTGTATTAAAATCTCTTTATCGACCTTGAGATGTCTCTCTTGGTAATTTGTCTTAGTCAATAATATAGTCAAGTTGTACAAACATAAAGCCTTAATAATTATATCATTGTTCTGTGTATGCTTTAAAAAGGGATAAAATGGCAATGATTGATCCAATTTACTTAAAGCCAATGACGAGTCAATAAATTCTTGGTTAGGCAATTCCATTAATAGATCATTTATCAATACCAAAACATTTTTCAATACATCATCTCTCGAATTGATTTCTAATTTATTCAATAAATTTAATATAGTATTGGTGTATAATTGTAGCTCAGATAAAACAGTAGATCTCTTGTTTTCAGGTGATTGCTTCTCTAATATCTTGATAAGGTTCGCATCATCTTCGCTAATGACATCTGCTCTTGCTAACCCTTCCCAAGGGATAATCCTTTCTCGAATGATTTTCTTACAATCGGATAAATGATTACTATCAATAATTAAAGGAGTCTAATAATGTTAGTTGAATGTTATCTGAAGCATTCCTTCAACAATTGAAAATTCAATATATATTTCAATTATCAATTGATCAATTATATACATACAAATTCCACAGTCATATTGATATATGTGGTGAATCTTGCTTGACATAAAATGCCTAGCCAACTAACTGATAATTGGATTAACTATGATAAATTGTCTACGAAAAGGATGGTACACGACCTCTTTATTATGGTTGATATCATATCAATTTGGGCATAAACTACAGACAACGGTCTATGGTTTCTACTCTGTACCCCAGTTATAGGTAGCTATGGTATTATAGGGTGTTTACCTAAAAAAGAAATAGGATCTTATCATCTACAGAAACAACATTTTACCCTAAATGATAGGCAATTGAATTACAAAAAAAAACTGCCGGTCCCAGGAATCGAACTTGGGTTTCATCGGCCACAACGATGTGTACTAACCACTATACTAGACCGGCGTATTTATTTCTTCTTGGCTTTAAAAAATTTACTAAATAATATTAGAGACTGGATCCATTTTTGCGATGTAAAAAAATTTTTCAGCCTATTGCAATAAATTTACTTACGAAGAGAACTCTAGTAACAATATGTCATAAATTAATTCAACGTAAATTATTATATATAAGTTTAGGCTAAATAAAAGCGTAAAAAGGACATGAAATCACAAATTGTAATAAGATAAATAAACTTTTGCTTTTAAGAAAACGTCTGGAAATGAAACTCTAAGTTGTATGGAGGTTATATTATATTAAACTTAATCAGAAGATTCTCTAGCATATTCTTTAAACATATCAGCATCTGGAATGGAACCACAAATAGTTTCAACCATAATACCGGTAACCAAGTAAGGATCTATATTGGAAGCTGGTCTTCTATCTTCGAAATAACCATAGCCTTCCTTGGCAACAGATCTTGGGATTCTAACAGAAGCACCTCTGTTAGCAACACCGGATGAGAAACCTTCAATAGAAGCAGTCTCATGACGACCTGTTAATCTTTGCTCGTTATCAGCACCATATAACAACATATGTTCCTTATGTCTCTTTGCTAATTTAGATAAAGCAACTTCTATACTCTTCATACCACCTGGTAATCTCATAGACTTAGTAGAAACATTAGTGTGACAACCAGCACCATTCCATTCACCTTTCAAAGGCTTTGGATGGAAAGAAACCTTGACACCGAATTCTTCGGCAACTCTTTGTAACAAATAACGGGCAATCCATAATTCGTCACCCATTTGGATACCTTCACAAGGACCGACTTGGAATTCCCATTGTGATGGCATGACTTCAGCGTTAATACCAGAAATATCGATACCGGCATGAAGACAAGCTCTGTAGTGAGCTTCAATAAGGTCTCTGGCGTAAACCTTACCAGTTCCGACACCACAGTAATAAGGACCTTGTGGGGCTGGGAAACCACCCTTTGGCCATGCGTATGGTTGGTCAAATTGGTCGAATAAAGTGTATTCTTGTTCTAAACCGAACCAGACTTCTTCATCGGCATGAGCCTTCATTAACTTAGCAGATTCGTGTCTGTGGTTGAACTTGTTTGGAGTACCGTCGTTGTTCCAACATTCGGTTAAAACAATGATGTTGTCACCCTTTCTGAAAGGATCTGGATAGAATGAGACTGGTCTTAAATACACATCGGAATCGTGACCTGGTGCTTGACCGGTCGAAGAACCGTCAAAGTTCCATTCTGGTAAATCTTCAACTGAATTTGGCTTCTTGTCTAATGTTTTACACTTAGATCTAGAGTTACCCTCAGCATCAATCCACACGTATTCGGCTAACACCTTACCGTTTTGAGAAAGATCCAAATATTTGGCTAAAATAGCAGTTTGTTCTGTAATCGACACCATTTCTGTATGTTGTATTATATTGTATTTTATTGTATTGTATTAATTAATTAATTTTGTTGTCAAGCGGAATTTGAACAACTATTTATGACTAGAAGATTTTTAAGTATGCGTCTCCTTGGTTTTTTTTTGTGTCAAGTATATGTACTAGAACACTAAATTTATTATTTTATTGGTTGATTGTTATTCTCTTCTAACCTGGAGTTGAATTGAATGTATTGAAGCAAAATTATCTGTTTCCTTGAAAATAGATAGTTTTGTAATTTATTCAATTTGGGAATAGTTGCTATTATATACTATATATATATTGATTCCTAAAAATGACAGATAATGCTTCGGTTGGCAAAAAAGAAATTTATGTCCTGATAGTACGGCCTTGGCACTAGCATAAGCGAAGGTTCATATCCATCACAAGAGCTTTTTCGTTATCATAGCCAATCAGCGTGCCAAAAAAACTGTATATCCGGTTTGCGCGGGCTTGAGCCCGGTAAACGATTAGCGTTGGAGAGGTGCGGATAAGACAGGAGTTCCTCTTGGTCGGATCCTGCGCGTGCTAAATTTATTCGATCTTTGGTCCCCTGGGCGAGCTTCAAGTGTTCCAGAAGGACGCATCGTGGTCTCCAGAGACGCCAATTAAAAGTTGGAAGTGAGTATAAGTAGATGTAAGATGGAGGAGCCTATAGGGTTTGCTCTGGGTACAACTGGAGAGTTATTCATACCAGCACAGTGATTTTGGTCATCGGATTAATTATCTAGTTTCTGGTGGAAGTGATCCGCCTGTCCATTTATTCAAGTCGGATTATCGATCCCGCAGTTTACCTTGTGTGCAGGTCGGAGACTTGGCCAATAAGTTAGTTTAATCAGCGTATCTCAATAATAGCGAAACAATGGTTTGGGGTAGAAGGATGAAAGGATGAGGGAAACATAGTACGGCTTGACAGAAAACATTGAGGGTACCTATTAGGGAAAGCGACGTTGGGGAGTGTAGAAATCGTGTTCCCTAATGTTCCGGGAGTGCGATTTTGGCGTAGGGAAAATATGTGCGACCCCAGCGATAGGCGAGCGCGAGAAGCCTGTTATCTTTCGCAGCCCTTCCATGTTGCATGGAATATTGGGGGGAGAATAGTATTGGTTGATATGATACGGATAGATATGTAAGTCAGTGTAGAAGTTTTGGCGAGGATATTGAGATATTGGATAAAGGCGTGGGGAGGAAAGGCTGTAGATAACCAATACAGGAGATAAGACTTAGTGGCTGAATGCGAAATAAAAAGAAATGAATAATGAGCCTAGAGTTAAAAGTTTCGGTTTTTAGGATTTCATGTAACGCCTATTCTACAGAGCTATGTTTCTAAACATTGGTGTTCACGGGAAAGGCTGGTTTTGCTTGGATAACTATGATTCCGTGTTCGCATGGAAGCATATGATGAATGTTGGTGCGTCTGAAATAGAGTGACTCATTATGGACATATTGTACGGGAAAGCAAATACGGGGCGAAAGGTTTTAGGCGGGCCAGGAAATTGGGCAGGCATATAGAAACGCATTTAGAGTATAGTAGTATAATTAAGGTTCCTGAATCTAGGAGTGTAGGATTGTTGTTATTTATACCGAAAGAGGAAAGTTAAGTTGATTTATGTCTTCACCTCTCAAATCACATAGAAAAGTTTCTACTGCTAGGAGACAAATACGTAATTGTAAAATCACGAAATCTAACTCGTTATTCTCTAAGGGTTTCGTTTTAATAAAATTATATTTAGTTGCAAGATTTTATATTATTTCGTCGTATTTTCTAATAAATCTAACCCCAAGTCCATATTTCTTAGGTTTATAGATAAATCGAACTACAGTTCCTCCTAAGCCCATTCTTTAAAAATGTCAAGCGACTATAGTCAAACACTAATACTAATATGTTGACGATTCTTTAGTATCTGTGTTCAAACAAGGTCTGAATAATTATTATATATAAGTTCTATAAGCATGTTTTCTTAAAATCAGCAAAGTAAGCCTTCTTAGCTTAGTGGTAGAGCGTTGCACTTGTAATGCAAAGGTCGCTAGTTCAATTCTGGCAGGAGGCAATTTTTTTCTTCTCTCTGTAATGACTTATCTGCAGGACGATATATTTTTGTATTTATTAGTATTGTCTCGCCACAACATTAGATATGCTTTCTAGTGTAGAACTTAACATATTTGCAGTCATAAATTCTACGTAAAGGGCGAAAAGTGTTTATCTGAGGTAAATGCTAGAAAATGCTTCTTAGAACGGTATCAAAATCACGAATATTATCTCGGAACGCACAATCATGGAGTAGATATACTTCCTCTGTAAATAGCCGATGCTATTCCATATTAACCAATAATTCATCCCACCATGTGAAGAATCATTTAAATCCAGCGTCATTGGTCGCCAAAAGAAACATCGGATTTATAAAGATCTTAGCTAGGGCAGGAAAAGTTCCAGCGTACGTAGGGGGTACATTTGCTGCAGGTGGTTCATACGTTGCTTACAAAGTTGATCAGGCATCAAATTATGCTCAGGATAAGTTGTCTACTATTAAGGATTTCACTGATGGTTTTTTCAGTAGTACTGGTGATTTCTTTAAAGGCATGGGCAGTGGAGAGAATGCGACCTCAGGAGGGGATGGAGGTGGTAACAGCGGAGACACGGCTACAGCGGTGGGTGCTACAGCAGCAGCGGTAGGATTTTCGTCAGATGAAGATTCTGATACGGCAGCAGAAGATTATAATACGGATGATGAAGATGAAGAAACATTAATTGACGATGATGATGACGATGACGTGGACAATGACGAAACTGATGACGAGATGTTAACATTGACCCGTCAAATGATTGAAATAAGAAATTTGTTATCTACAATCGACCATTCGGACAGTTTAAGATTGCCATCTATAGTTGTGATTGGTTCCCAATCAAGTGGTAAGTCTTCTGTATTAGAATCTATTGTCGGGCAAGAATTCCTACCAAAAGGGTCTAATATGGTTACTAGAAGACCAATTGAATTAACATTGATTAATACACCTGATGCAGCAGGAGAAGCTGCTGAATTTCCAGCCTTGAAAATGCACAACTTGACGGATTTTGAACAGGTACAGAAGGTTCTTTTTGATTTGAATATGGCTGTCCCTGAACTGGAATGTATTTCGAATGATCCAATCCAGATCACTATCAGATCGCCAAAGGTGCCTGATTTATCGTTGGTTGACTTGCCAGGCTATATTCAGATAGAAGCTGCTGACCAACCCATTGAATTGAAGCAAAGAATCAGGCAACTATGCAATAGATATTTAGAAGCCCCAAACATCATTTTGGCAATTTCTGCAGCCGATGTAGATTTAGCCAACTCGGCAGCTCTCAGAGCAGCTAAAATGGCCGATCCTCGTGGTGAAAGAACTATTGGGGTTGTAACTAAGTTAGATTTAGTTGAGCCTGAAAGAGCAAGAAATATATTAGTGAATAAGAAGTACCCTTTAAAAATGGGATACGTTGGTGTGATTACAAAGGCCCCTACTCCAGTGAAACATTCTAGTGGGATATTTTCCCGTAAACAGCTTACAGGTTACCAAGCTTTTGTGGCTCAGCAAAATTTTGAATATAATTATTTGAAAGAACATAAGGATGACTTCTTTGGAACAGTAAACGGTACTCGTAACTTGAAGAAAAAATTAATGAAAGTGTTGGAAAGGTCAATGGCTGCTTCCTTGAGACCGACCCATTATGCTATCCAACAAGAATTGGAAGAAACATCGTACCAGTTTAAAGTTGAATTCAACGATCGTCCTCTAACACCACAAATGTATTTGGCTAATAACATTGATATTTTAAAGTTATCCACTACAAAATTAAGTCAAAATTTTTCTCGTCGTGAATTGAGATCTCTATTGAAAAATGAAATTGACCAAAAAGTGTTGGATTTATTAGCCGAAAGGTATTGGAATAAACCATTTTCCTTGAACGACAATCATGCAACTGTGGAGCCTGACTTAAGACAACTATCAGCCATCAGCAATATTGATGACGATGTCTATTGGCACAAAAAGTTAGATTTAGCTACAAATTCTTTAACTAAACTAGGCATTGGTAGATTATCAACAAGTTTAGTAACAAATGCTATTATAACTGAAATTGAAAATTTGGTTGATAATATTGAATTGCGTAATCATCCAATGGCTAAGGCTGCAGTAAGAGACGCTGCTAAATCTGTTTTGAGTGCCAAATACTTCTCTACGGCCGATCAAGTGGAAAATTGCATTAAACCTTACAAGTATGAAATTGAAATAGAAGATAGAGAATGGCAGGCAAGTCGTGAAAATGCCGTCAATCTTTTGAAAGAAGAAATGAGGCAATGTGATGAAGCATTTGGACTGTTAAAGAAACAAATCGGAGGTAGAAAGTTACAACAAGTCATTGCTTACTTGGAGAAGTTAAATAAACAAAAGACAATTGAAATCGACTTTAATTCTAATGATGCGTTAGGGTTCTCGCCAAACTTGATCCAAAGAGGACAAGATGCAATCTTTTTGAAAGATAGATTATCCTTATTAAAGATGAGATATCAATTTGTGAAGAACTCTAAAAAGTGCAAAAAGAAGGAAAATAAGTATCAATGTCCCGAGATATTTTTGGATGCAGCATCGGCGAAATTGACGTCTACTGCCATATTATTCTTGAACGTTGAATTATTAAGTGATTTTTATTATAACTTCCCTAGAGAATTGGATTTGAAATTCTTCAATAATTTGTCTAAAGAGGAAATTGAAATATTTGCTAAAGAAGATCCCAAGATTAAAAAGCATATTGAGTTGCAAGAGAGAAAAGATTTATTAGAATCGGCGTTAAATAAAATTGAAGGAGTTTTGGCAATTCAAAGAAATAAGATAAATCAGTTAAACAAAGAGGACAGTAATAAAAAAAACGATTCTTTTTTATTCAACTGGAGAAGCTAATGAAATTGAAAAATGGTACTAAGATACTAAAATACAACTGTAGTAATAGTCAATAATGAGATGAATGTTATTTAATTTATTAATATACAACTTTTTTAATTTACTGCGTTTGATTATACAATGCTATGTAATTTTATTACTTAATAATCTTCATAATACGTTCGAACAATGTATCAATTTGAGCACCTTCTAAGTTCTCAAACATTGGTTGGAAAGTGTTTACGTCTATCACTCTATTAATCTGCACACTGTCATCGGTTTCCAAATCTTCTGATAATTGTTTACCATTTACCTTGTTGAAAGAAACATTACGATTAGTCATAACATCTGCTGTTGCTTGAGCATTTAGCAACATGTTGTTCATATCGTTAGCTAAATCAGATTCTGGAACTGACTCATTAGATGATTCGAAAGTGTCATTAGTAGACGAGATTATTCCAATTCTAGAATCTAAATCAACAAAGATGAATGATGAGTGAAATTGACGAATAGATGAAATACCTTGATTATGGTGACTAACATGTACCGGTGTCAATTCATCTGGTTTGAAAACTAAAATTTTCGATTTAATTCCAAAGTTATCCGCATTATTACTATAATAATTGACCCCCAAGCAGATTAACTTCTTGACTGGGTCAATTGCAATTAAATTCTTCCCGCCAATTGTAGTATTGACATTTGCAACTAAGTCTGTCGATTCACCTGACAATAAGTTGAACGATGTAATTCTGGTCTTCGACAAAACAATCAAATAATCATCTAAAATCGATAATGATCTGATTCTCGAGCCCGAAAGAGCCGGTACTCTGAAGGAATCATTTGGAATTTCTTCGAATGTCTGCGTGTTAAAGGTGGCTATTGAACATTCATGTCCTAATATAATAACCGATCCATCATCTGACCAACATGTATCAATAGCATCAGATACTAAAGCACCACATGGTTTGGATTTCCTCAAAGTCCAAGCAGTCTGTTGTAATTTATTATTTCCCTGCTTAACAGTTTGATAAATCTCTTTAGGAATACGAGGTCTCCATATTCTTAAACCGCCTTTATTATCAGCAGTTAAAAATGCTAAACCTTGATGATATGATAATGGAGCAGGAGTTAATGATAATATTGGATTAGAGTTGCCATGAGGATCAATAATCTTTGTTGATAATTCCCAATAACCTTGTTTATTATTTACACTATTCGTCGAATTTGTATCATTTTTAGATGGAGATGACTCAATAAACTTCCAAAACTTCAAAGCATATTGTTTATCGTTCTTAGACAATAAGTTGTCAACTTCTGACGTAGAAATACTGTCAAAGGTGCACATCCATTGACCATCTTGGGTGAATGATAATAATGAGATAGTTGGATCTAATAACTTATTCTCAGATCTAACCTTACCTGTTGACAATAATGGAGCAGCAGTCTGAACAAAACTTTGTTCATTTTTAATCAAATCATAAGCTTGGATGACAGCGTCATTAGGGAAGTACAAGTTCTTTGTTTTTGGATGAATTTCAAAAATAGATGTGTAGTCGTGCTTAAGCTTTGACTTGTCAAAAGTAGACTCAGATTTCGAAAATTTCTTCTTTGTTTTCAATAATGTTTGCTTGACATTATTGGCTAATTTAGGTCTGATACTGTTAATCGATAATCTAGATACCAAATCCACCGCCGATAAAACCAAAATTTCGTATGTATCTTCATCATTAACCACATCGGACCCACTAGATGACACCTTTAGCATCAAGGTATAATAATCATTTTTATTATTATCAAGGGAAATTCTTTCTATACTGCCATTTAATCTAGGTAAAAATTGAGTCTTACCTGTTTCTAATTGCCAGAAAACTAACACCTTCTCCATACCACCAGATAATAAGTAATTATTGTCGGCGGTAAACTGTAAGGCTCTGACTTGATCTATATGCCATTTCAATAAACCCTGAGGCTTATCTGATGTTAATCCACCATACAAAAGTTGAATAGCTCCCGCAGAGGTACCAACCGCAACCACGGAGTCATTTGAAACTGCTAACGAAGTTACAGGCGACTTATATATGAATGGGATGGTTTCTTGGGGTAACTCTGTATAGTCTGTCTCTTCTTCATCATTCTGGTCTTGTTTGGAAATGAGCGACAAATCCACAAGAATTATATCATGGTTGCTAGTTAAAAATGCTAATTTATGACTATTTGACGAAATAGCGTACTTCGTAACGTTATTAATTTCAGCTAGATTCACGACACTTAATTGATCTCTGGAGATTCTAACAACATACCTAGTATGTGGAGATGCACTAGCTTTTTTGTCCTTTTTTCCAATCATAACATAGTATGCATCACCTCTAATTGCTGCTACCGATAATATTGGCCATTCCGTTTCAATATTACTGGCGGAAACTATTGGTTGGTTTATCTTGTCTTTCCAGTTGAGCGTAATAATTTCACCTGAACTTTTGAAAAGCACAATGTGACTACTATTCAAAACATCTAACTTAACATCCGCCACATCACTCAAGTCTATATCTATTGTTCTGATACATTGGCGGGTCGAAACAAAGTAAACTCTTACTTGGTATGATAAGATTACTATATCGTAGCGGCCATCATGCGAGAATACTGATGCTGATGCTGAGGAATATGGTAAAGACACCGGCTTTCCCCCCGATGCCATGTTAAATGACCAGTCACTCAATGAAACTGTCATAATATCTATCCTTATATATGAAAGTTCAATCTAACAGCAAAACTTTCCGATGGATGTTAAATATAAGAATCAAAATTCATGAAAAAAATTCAATTTTGTGATCGATGAGGATGATCACGTGAATAAATAAGTCAAATTCAAAAATTGAAATTTTTTCTCTAAATGAAGATTAATACCCTTGATAATAAACGAATACATCCACTAAATATCTATAATGATTATTCCTGTTCGTTGTTTCTCGTGTGGTAAAGTTGTTGGAGACAAATGGGAAACATACTTAGAGTATTTACAAGATGATACCATGACTGAAGGTGACGCTTTAGATAAATTGAAATTACAAAGATACTGTTGTAGAAGAATGGTATTGACCCATGTTGATTTGATTGAAAAATTCTTGCGTTACAATCCATTAGAAAAGAAAGATGTTAATTAATGGATTCGGTTGTGTTAAGGATCGAGATCCAATTATAATGCATATTCATACACAAGTCAAGCCGACTTCATCGTAGGTTATAGAACTATCACATTGAAACAAACAAACTATTTTATTCTGCAATTTCATTCGCCCTGAAATGTGTTAAAGGTGTTATTATAAATATTGTATTTTTAGGCTATTCATTTATTTACTCCAGTTACGTATATTTGTTTATTATGAATAAAAGTAAATCAGAAAACATTCAATTTTGTATGATTGTATATGTATGATTGTAATATACGTATATACTTATAAATGTTCTAAATAATTGTGTTCAGTTGCCAGCGTCTGGGGTATCAACATTTTGAATATACTCATAGTAGAATGCTAATGCATGCAAATGAGAATCAAAAGGTACCTTTTCGTCGACACTATGAATTTTATTTTCCTTAAAGTCTGCTGGGTAGCCTGGAGTGTATCTGTAAATATTTTTAGTTAAATTAGCATAATACTTGGAGTCAGTAGTACCTGTAAGACTAAATGGGGTCGTCATTATTGGGTAGCTTAAGTTGGTGAAAACAACGTCCTCGAAAACGTGTCTTGTAGTACCGGCAAGATATTCCCAGACGGTGTCATTAGATGGAGAGACAGGTGCTGCAGGTGTTTTGTGGTAAACCACAACAGTGAACTGACCGTTCTTTGGGTCACCATTATGAACTTGTTCTCCGAAAGCTTCAACGCTTATATTGTATTTTGTAGCGACTTCAACGACATGGTCACTGAAATGCTTTTCAACTTCCTCAAAAGGGGTTTCGATAGCAACTCTGTGGTTGATAACTAATTTAACGTGTTCTGGTAAAGAGTTGGCCTTTTCACCACCCTGAACGACGTCAAGAGACTGAGTAGTACGAACTAAGTAGTTAGTCATTGGATTATTAAGCAACATTTTTAAAACTTTGCTATTAGCCAATTTATCAAATCCAGCTCTTAAGATAGCCTTTCTCGTTAATTTTGGCAACTTGTCACCAGTGTTAACAGCCAAACATTGTAAGTAACGTAAAACAGGGTTCTTGGATGTTAAGAATGGTTTATATGGATCATTCTCCAAATTATAACTCAATTCAGCCATAATACCAACAGCCGTGTGATCTGGTGGGTACGAAGAATGTCCTCCTGGTGCGCTCAAAAACACATGGACGTTAAGATCACCCTTTTCACCGTTAGCTGGAGTGGCAATGTATTGGCCTGTAGCAGCATCAAGTGTCAAACCAGGGCCTTCATCAATAAGTGAATATATAGAATCGTGGCCATACTTCTTTTCAAGATGTTTGGCAATATTTGCAGCTCCCCTGATACCGATTGACTCCTCATCGAAACCGAATGCCACGATAATACCTCTTTGAGGCTTGAAATTGTCGGCAATCAACAATTCAAGGGCCTCTAACATAGCAATCAACAGGTTCTTACAGTCCAGCGCACCTCTACCGTAAACATATGTACCATCATAATGCCCATCAAAAGGAGGATATGTCCAATCCTTTAATGTTTCCTTCTGTACTGGAACCACATCCTGATGTGCAATGTACATAGAAGGCTTCAAGTTCTTGTTTGATCCTTTCCATGTGAACACTAATCCATAAGTGTTAACTTTATCAACTTGAAGATGCTTATGCACCGTAGGGAACGTCTTCTCCAAATAATCGTGGAATGCTTGAAATTGCACCCATTGTTCCGGTGCGTCGGGAACATCTGGTTGATTATCGCCGATCTGAGTGTCAACCTGAACCGCACCAGATAACTTTTTGACCGATTGTAACCGGAATTTTTCATCATGTACAATATTGTACACCTTTGACTTATCATTCAAATAAGTCTGGGGGACCTTTGGTTCATAAATTGGGCAAATTGACAAATCGTTAGGCGATTGTAATGCAATTTTCAAGTGTCCTAACCCATTACTACTAACAAATATCACCGACAAAAATAATACCAATATACCAGAGATAAGCCATTTTTCACCTGGGTTAGACAGCTGCGTCGTTGATGTAGCATTTTCTCTATTAACCCTAGCTGTTCTGGAGGCAGCTTCGTCTTTTTCGTTGTTCATAAATTCAGACATCTTTACTGCTTCCTTATTATTTAAATATCAAGGAATTGTTCTGTATTTATATACAGCAACTCCTCACTTGAGTTGCCATATATGTCATATTTGATTGCTTTGTCTTTATCTCGGAAAATCGGCGGCCCCATCTCCCGCAGATAAAATAGATTGTCGGTGCTCAACTATGGCTCTTCGTGGACCAAGTCAAAAAGAAGATAGTGCGGAGTCAAAAAGGTATGATTGGATTGAGGAGATACGATTGGATGTGAAAAAAGTTCAATATGTATTTATCGTTTTAACTACTTATTGTCAGCACTAGGCGTGTTTACCGTTTGTATATACTCGTAGAAGAAAGCAAGAAGCTGCAAGTGAGAGTCAAATCTCAATTTTTCGTCAACACTATGAATATTTGTTTCATGCATAACATCTTTGGAGAAGAATGGAGTATATCTAAAGATATTTCTAGTCAAGTTCCAGTAATGTCTTGTGTCAGTATTACCTGTCATCATACCCGGAGTCAAAACAATTGGGTAAGGTAAATCTGGATATACATAATCTTCAAAAATATGTCTTGTGACACCTGCAAGATATTCCCAGACCTTATCATTCAATGGAGAAACGGGGGCAGGATTCAATGGTTGACTGAAGATTCTGAGGTACAAATTACCTTTTGGCAGATCTGGGATAATTTTCTTTCCGAAAGCATTTAATCCCAAACCATGATCCTTGGCCACCTGGATGAGACGGTCGGCGAAATGGTCCTTGACTTCATCGTAATTAGATTCAATAGCGACTCTGTGGTTGACAAGCAACTTAACGTCTTCTGGTAAAGCATTGGCCTTTTCGCCTCCTTGGATGATATCAAGGGCTTGCGAAGTCTCAACTAAGTACCTAGTGATGTTGTTGGCTTGAAGGCTCTTCAACACTTTAGAATTAGCCAACTTATCGAAGCCGGCTCTCAAAATAGTCTTTTTCGTCAAACTAGGCATCTTCTTACTGTGTACGGCTGCACATTGCAAGTAGTCTAAGATTGGGTTCTCTGTGGTCAAAATTGGCTGGAAAGGATCACGTTCAATGAGGTAACCAATTTCAGACATGATACCAATCGTGGTGTGATCAGGGGGCATAGAAGAGTGTCCACCTGGAGCAGTCAATTCGACTTCAATGTCAAGGTAGCCCTTCTCACCAGTACCTGCCATAGCAACAATTTGACCACTGAAAGGATCTTCCATTAAACCTGGACCTTCATCAATAATGGCGTAAATAGAATCACGGCCAAATGTGTTCTCGAGGTATTTACCCAAGTTCGAAGCCCCTCTAACACCGGAAGCTTCTTCGTCGAACCCGAATGAAGCAATTACACCCCTTTCTGGCTTGAAACCTTTTTCAAGCAATAATTCAAACGATTCTAAAATAGCAACCAATACATTCTTACAGTCAGCAGCACCTCTACCGTAGATAAACTCACCATCATAATGGCCATCAAATGGAGGATATGTCCAATCCTTCAAAGTTTCCTTTTGCACTGGAACTGTATCCTGATGAGCAGTTAACATGACTGGTTTTAACTTGGAATTCGACCCCTTCCAGTAGAAAACTAATCCGTAAGTGTTCACCGTTTCAACCTCAAGGTTTTCGTACACCGTTGGGAATGTCTTCTGTAAATACTTATGAAACTTCTTGAATTGAGTCCATTTTTCTGGAGCATCTGGCACATCTGGTTGGTTATCCCCAATTTGGGTGTCAACCTGGACGGCCCCAGCTAATTTTTGAACAGATTGTAACCTGAATTTCTCATCCTGAATAATCAGATTGACAGTGGAATTGTCGTTCACGAATGTACTGGGTCTCTTAATCTCAAAGACTGGACAAATTGACTTGTCTCCTGTCGACTGAAACAAGATTTTCAAGTACCCAACAATGTTGGTACTAAGTAATACTATCAAGAGTACAAGTGCACTCAATCCTAAAATAACATTCTTCTTCTTGAAGATTTGTTTTCTCGAACTATCATCTAACGGGAGTCCAATCATTTTATATGTCAATTGGTTCTATTCCAAATAATGTACTAAGAAGTAGATGTTCACCCTTATATTCCCTTTTTGAAAAATTGAGTAGGGCACCTAATTCCGAAATTGATAAGCGAATGGCTCCATCTATTCACCTGATAAGCCCAACACAAGAGCAACTCTCAAACCCAATCATAGCACGGCGCATTTCTCAGACAGTGGGTATATATTGATAATTAGTATACTATATTTGAAAGCAAAAAATGACATTGCAGTCAATCTAGTTGACTGAGTCGGGCATTATAAATGAAGAGATTTCGGAAATACNCCAGCCGATATAATTCCGAATCCTTACTCGTACCTACAGACTCATGTTATTGCACCAAATCGCCAGACAAAATTATAATTGTACGAGGCATATAACGATCAATGGGAATGTCACTGGTACGTGAAGCATACCCAAGACCAATAGAATGTCAGACCAAAGGAATGCCAGATGATTCGATAAACTATATATAGCGAATGGAAGCCCCACGTACGGAATGTCACATCGCATGGCTTCACAATATACGGACATTCCATGATCAGTCGAAGCCCAGGTGCACAATAGCCTTAATAGACGCCATAAATCGTTCTTTGAGCCTTGTTCGAAGTCACGCTCGCATGAGTTTGGGAATGTAGACAACAGAATGAAGTCAGACAGTCATGTGAAAAATTGTGACAAATCCGAATGACACCTTACATTGGGTTTAGACTACGAACACCGTTTGCAACACGGACCGCAATTCAGAGACCCTTCGTCTGTTACCAGTGCCGTGAAACGTTTCGTGATGAGCTATGGTGTTAGACGAGGACGAAGGTTCCAAGCGAAGATATGTAGTACAAAAACACGAATCGCGCATTTTGCAGCTTAATTATTGTTCCACGTATTGTCCATGTATTTACAAAACATTCCAAGAAAGCGTAGCTACATAGTTAACGGGCCAAGGATCAGACACCCCTGATTGTTTAAGAGCGAAATGGTGCATAGCGTTATAGATTGTTTTGCCCTTATTATGTTTTGTTTACATTGTAGCGGTATTTGAAACACGATATTTTTATTGATATATATTAGATGGGATTTCCACCTTGAAGATTCCAATAGTTTTGTTGCTTAATTCTATTTCCCTTAAGTATTAGTTGATTTCATTCGCTCTGTTTAATCTTGCGTAACCTAATCGCGTCCACTCCTTTGATAACTATTTGATTTAGAAAACCTTGATCAAATAATTGATTGAAATTAGTTCAGAAAGAAATTTATAAATCGAAATGCGTTTATCATCAGGTGTTATTCCATTAATTTTGGCCACTTCCGCTGCGGCCATTCCATTCAGACCAGTCAACTTCAAGAGATATGAAAACTCCTCTGAGGTTTCGGTCACCCCAAGTGCTTCCGCCGGTTTTTCTGCTGTTGTTGTTGCAGCTAGTGGTGCTTCATCTGGTGTAGTATCTTCCGATGCTGCTGTGACTTCGGATGCTGCTCAATCTTCTGATGCCGCTGCATCCTCTGACGTTGAACAGGATACTACCATCACTATTGATGAATACGTCACAATCACTTTACCAGACACCACTTTAACCATCCCAACTTCTGCTACCGACGAAATTAATGAGGTCGAATCATCAGCCTCTGCTGTTTCTGCTTCTGTTACTTCTAGTGATGTTGACACTACCCTCACTTCCACCGTCATTGAATATCAAACCATCTCTTCCGATGGTTCTGAAACTGTCCAAGCAACTAACACTTACACCACCACTGTTGCTCCATCATCATCATCAGCTGAAGCTTCTTCTGAGGCTGCTACTGAAGCTCCTTCTTCAAGTGGTCAAGTCACTACCTCCACCATAACTAAGCTCACCACTATCACCCAAGGTTCTTCTACATTTGTTTCCGCTATTGAAACTGATACTGAAACCGAAACTGGTGGTCAATGTACTCCAGAAACTGTCACTGTAACTGTTACTAAGGGTGATGAAAAGGCTGCTTCTTCCACTCCTGACGTTACCTCCACGGTCTTTTTAACCTCAACCATGACTACTTCTTACCCAGTTGAAGCTGAGTTTACCCACGGTGACGATATCACTACCATCACCAGTTACGTTCAAGTCACTTCTACTCAAGTCTACACTACTGCTGCTGGTTCTTCTTCTTATGCTGGTTCTTCGTCATATGCTAACTCTAGCATCCCTGCCACTAGTTCATCCTTCCAAACTGCCGGTAACAATGGTACTTACTACTCATCTGCTTTACCAAGTGCAACCTCTGGCTACGAACCAGTTGCTAACGCTAAGAGAGGTTTCATTTTTAACTTCTAAGTTTCACTAAGTGATTACTGACATTCATTCTACATGGAAAGATTGTTATGATACCCTATACCTATCACTTTAGTTGATTTTTTTGGATTTATCTACTATTTAGGATTTTTTCTATGTCTTTTTATCAATATTATAAATTTTTTCCATTTATTAAACGACATCTTTGCATTATACCACATGTAAGCCTTACGGAGCCATAGAACATCTATCCATGCCTTCTACTGGAGTCTGTCCTATAATTGGTTTGAAAGCGACACGAATTTTTTGCGCCTTAAAAAACGCGTTAAAAGTGGTTCCTTCAAATCAACAAAAATTAATCATATAAACAAACAAAGAAAATCTCGAAGGACAAGGAAAAAGCTATGACCTCTCCGCTTAGATTTGAAGCTGATATGTCCATGATTGAAGGTGAGAAGCTATCACCAATAAAGATTCCTCCATCTAGACTTTCTACAAACACAAAGAGCCCTGATATCTTAGCAAAACATCCTCATGGATTAAGTGCTAAGCAAGATGCCAGAAGAAATACGGTACATAATGAAACACCAAAGGGATTAACGGCTACTCCATTAACAAAGAAAGCAGAACCATTGTATTCGGTTAATAAGAGAATTCCATTAACATCACCTAGAGCTACTAATCAACCGAACTTGG